CAAAAATAATCTTTGATAAGTTATGTAAAGTTCACAAATGAACCAAGAGAAAATTTTCTCAAATAATCTCATATTCAATTAACCATCTCCAATTACGGTTACAACCCTTTAAAAAGCTAAATTAGTCCAACTAAGAATAAGAAACTATATTCTGTACACAAATCCAATTAAAAGTAGAATTGGATGTACACTACTTCTAAAAATGTTTGAATTTGTGTTATTCCTAATAAGACACGAATTAAACTTTCAATTAAAAACAATTTTTAGCCCAAATAACTCAAAAAAAAAAAAAAACACAAATTTAAGTGAAAATAACATAAAAATCGTTCAAAACAACTTAAAATAATGCAAAATATCAGTTAGCAACATTGTAACAAAAGTGTGCATTTGTGGTCGAATTGAGTGATTTCGATTGAAACTATGTAATTAAGTCAAAACGACCTCAAATAAGTTGTTCTTCGACTTAAAAAATGTTTTTTTTTTTTTGAACAGCAAATAATGATATTTATTGATAAACAGAGTACAAGGGGTACCCCAAACCCTTAAACATCAATAGTTAAGAGACATAAATGTACAAGAGTGGACTAACCCTGCCCAATAGTGTCGACACCCACATAAAGTGTCGACACTATACCCGTGTCGAATTTATGTCCTCCTTTACAGTTTTTACATAACTCCCTGTTTTGATCATCAAAAAACTTCCACTTTTCAAATCCACTGACACGCAAAATCATTGAGCATGCATTTACTACAGTTTAACTAACACACTATAGTAAAATACCTCCTCAATGAAGCCTTCATGCACCAAACAAATTTCAACTTGCACTCCGTTCTGCAGTGTAGCCTTCTTTTTGTTGTTTATGAAACAATTTCATTGCTTGTTTGTGGCTTCTCATTGACAAAGCACACGCTACAGGGTTAACCTTCCACTCATTAAATGAAAAGGCACAACCATTTACCTTATTCTTGATCCATAAAAATGATTTGGCTTGAATCATATCTAGTAATCTTCCCCTGATGATAGCTTTATTATCAAATACTTTACCATTTCTCCAATACCATAAATACCATGATACAACAAGAAAGATACAAGCACCCATCTCCTTCCCTACTACCCTACCCAAATCGAATACAAAGATGTCTGCCACTCCTCGTACAATATTTGGCATTACCATCTTCATGTTCCACCACTGCAACACCTCTGTCCACAAAATCCATGCTTCCTTACACATACTAAATAAATGGTTAGCCTCCTCAATCATGTTATGGCACAAAACACACATTAATTCCTCTTCCTGTAAATGCACCCCTCGCTTTCTAATGTTCCACTTAGTTGGAAGCCTATCAAGAGATAAACGCCATCCAAAGAAAGACACATTGGATGGTACTAATCTGCACCAAATAACCTTACACAACTGTTCCTCTAAGATACCCTCCGAAGGGGCCAAAAAATGTTAACTAAATCTTAACAATGCTTCAAGTTTTTATTCACTTGTTGTGTGTTATTTTTAGCCTAAATCTCCTCAATAAGCGCATTTACAGCTTTTTGTATCTTTTTAACTCTTGCTTTCATTATTAGACTTCCATGAATATACAATGGT